ATGCTGTGGTATCTCAGTGGGAAGCAAATTGCTACAAACCTGTCATATGCCAGAACAGTAAGCATGACAGACTGCACTGAACTAAAAAAATATATAAAAAGCATGTTAGACACACAGGCCTCATATGTTATTTGATGTATATTTAGCAGACAGACATTAATCACATTAGGAAAAACAGCAGTACTCTCACCCAAGTCAGCTACCGCTAATGTAAAAATAACCATATATTTTGGGGTGTGAAGAGAACGGTCTACATAAATGATGAGTGTGACAAAAGAGTTTCCCAAGACAGTGACCACATAAACCAAACACAAGAATATGAAGTAGTACTGAGCATGAGGTATGTTAGAAAAACCAGTGATAAAAAAATATTGAGGACGCACAAAAGAGTTTGGAGTGGCATTTTGGTTTAATGTGTCGGCCATCTTTTTTCAGGGTTGTTGTTTTCAGCCTTGTTTAACCTGAAAAAGGAAAACATGTTTATCTTCTTAAACTTGCGGGTTGCTTTACAGAAAATCCATCCACCTGTGTCCCAGCTGCTTATCCAGTGCAGGGTCACTAGGGGCTTGGAGCCTATCACAGGCAGCTCAGTGCATAAGGCATGGGAGCACTTCGGATGGCCCTCGGTGAATTGCCAGGCACACACATACACAGAATACACATCACCATATACTATGGACAACTTGCAGATATCAAGTATCTTCCTGCAGTGCGGTAGCACACTGGAATAGGCAGAAGAAAATCATGAAACACGAGGAGAGCATGGAAATTTTCCCACCTTGGAAGTGTGAGGGAAGTGAGCCAATGTGCCTCCCCAGCGAAAATTCCTGTTTTTTCAAATATAAAAACAATATTAACTGTCATAGTAATTATCTCGATTTGTCAACCTGAAAATTTGCTTGTCGACATTGCCTTTAATTTCTAGAATACAGATTTTAAAATGGCAAATTTCAGCTAAATATCCAATACCTGTATAACAGCAGACACATACTTCAAGTGCCCACTGCTAGAAATGCTGTCCTGGAAAATAAAATAAATAAATGTATGTATGTATGTATTCAAAACAAACATTAATATCATATTCCATTAATATCAAAGACCACATGCAATCATTGTTAAAATTCAGTGAAGTTTTATAATGAAAAAGGAAACAATTTCTATCAGAAGGTCTGCAAGATACTTGCTGACGGATCTCTTTAAGAACAAACTTACCTTTCTGTCTGAATGATATCTGTAGGGTTTTTACAAAAGATAATGTGACTGTTGTAATGCTTTCTGTATTTCCGTCCAAACAGACTGAAGATCTAGGAAATCGTTCTGCTCTTTATAGGTCCTCTGACTATTAAGTCACCTGACTTTCATATCTGGCCCATAGAAACTGTCAGCTGCTGGTAACAGATAAGTCACCTTGTCTTTAAATATATATTTGTTATCCATGGTTTTGGGATACGTAGCTTTTGTTCTTGCAGGAGCGTCACACAAATATTTTCTTGGAAAAGTCAGGATATTTTTTTAAATTAAGCTTTACAGAAGTTTAATGTCCATGCGAGTGCACTTTTCATAGTCAATGAATATACTGAGATGGCTGACAGTATGTAACACTTTTAATATGACCTGGAAGTGAACAGATTTTGAGAAAAATTGAAGCAGAGCCGCATAGCAGTGAAGTAGGGTAGTTTCAGACATTTCATGCCATTAGTATGATAACTCAAAATATATTTGCCTAATGTCTGTAAAAATACATTTACAGACATGTTGTAGGGGTGAAGATCTAGACCTGATCAAATTTTGAGATAAACTGCACCAGAATTGAAACAGTGCCATATAGTGACCACAAGGAGATGGATGACATGATTAGAGGCTTATCACTCTATTTCTTATTACTACTGACAGAGCGCAGCCAAGGGTGAAAATGGAGCCTGCAGCCACCACCTTGTGAACACAGTTATCTGCCTCTGATGGCTTGGTGACTGAATCGGAGTATTTCCAAAATGACAGGTCTTGTGGGATGTTCCTATAATGCAGTGGTCAGCACCTTCCAAAAGTGGTCCAAGGCCCCCTCAGTTTTTTGGAAGTTCTTTTTTTTTACTGCATCTATAATTAATTTATATCACAGGATTACATTATACTATATGCTACAAGTTAGCCTAGCCCACTGCTACGAAAATGAGTTTGTTACGGTTTTTCTGAATTGCTAAAACACTAAACCCCATTTTAAAAACTAAACTGTCAACCATCAAAACTCCTTTATCAAATCAATCCCACAGTTGACAAAACAGACACTGTTCATCTGGTTAGACACAATTTGCAAATCTGAATCTCCTGTTTAGAAAAATTATAAACACATTTGGAGCCAGAATGGCACACAGAGTCTAAAAGTGACACACAGCTAACACCCTGTTTTCATTATTAACACACTACCACTCAAAACTGACCACACGTGTTAAATCTGTGATGTTTGGAACCGAATCAATAAACAGGATATACGACAAGTCAAAAGCAAGTGGCATGAGTGAAATCAACAATAGAGCACTACAACAGAAAAGGAAGGGGGTTGCTTGTCAGAGGGGGTGGACAATGAGGAAGAGATGAAGAGCTATAATTATAAAATGAAATTAGGACAAAAATCATAGATCATGTTCTGGTTCATGGCATGACAATGAGGGAAGCAGGGCAACATGTGCAAAACAAAGTTAAGCAGGTCCTCAGTGGCCTCCATAGTCAGGGCATTCAGAGAAGAAAACTTGTAAAATATTTTTGTCTCTGAAAGTTACAGTATGATTTTAGTCTAAGTAAATAACTCCACCAATCTCTAAAAAGTGGACAAGTAAAAATAGTTAGCTTACAATGCTATATCTGTTTTTGCACAATAGAGAACATATATAATACAGTATGTACACTTCTGACAAAATGAGGTACCACTTTACAATATGGCTTTCACATTTTCATTTAAAAGTGGCTTTTGCCGCTTATAAATAGTAGTTACTCATTAATAAAAAGAAAACTGTGTTATAACTGTTTTTATAATTGTCTATTAATGATTTACAAAGTGCTACATAACTGGATTATAAACCATTCATAAACCCTTTATAATGGTAGCCCTATTGTAAAGTGGTACCCAAAATGATCTTTTTGTAGAATTGAAAGATGGCCACATGAGGATGGAAGAACACATATCTTCTCACAACAACAGGATACACTTATTGTTGAGATGGTCCGACAAAACAATGCAATTCGACTGTGTGATATACAAGTATAGAGAATTTCTGCACTTGACACAACGGAGAGGCCTCATGAATACATCTTTAGAATCAGAATCATAATGGGAAACACTTTATTGATCCCTGGAGGGAAATTATTTTGTTGCAGTTGCTTCAAGCACTTCAGTCG